GGTCGAGGCTGCAGTGGCCGGAAGTGGCCACTGCACTCCAGTCTGGGAGACAGAGTGAGACTCCAACTCAAAAAAAAAATAAAAAAAATTGCTTTGTGTAAGAATATGATGCCTTTTTTGCAAGGTTGTGGTATTTGCAGTTGCATGTGATGATTCTTGTGATCGATCAGTTGTGCATGCCTGAGATCTCTTTCTTCATAGCTTTCCCTGGCTGTTAATTCTCAGAGTCTAACACAAGTGACTTCATTTTGATACGGAAAACATTCACAATAGAAAGATTTTCCACCTAAACATCTGAATGTGGTAATTGGGGTTATCTTCTACCTTAAACAACCACATAGGACTCTTTATATTCTAATGATATTCTTAAGTTAGGGTGACTTGTACTTGAGAGAACCCCTTATAAACAGTTTCTCATGATTTCCCAAATCCCACCATATCAAGGGATTCTGGGATTTCTTTTTTGTCAGAGTTCTTTGTCCTCCTCCAGGAGTCTCTGAATTAGCAAAAATTATGAAATAATATTTTAGCAAGGGTTGAAAATTTTTTAATGGTGATTTGAATTCTCTTCAAACTGTGGAATCCAAGATGAATCACTTAGCCCCAGTGATCCTCAAAATACAAGAGTTCTTGATATCATAACTTCTCAAGAGAGAAAAGCTTGTGCACTAATGGGTAAGAAGGGTTGGTTTCTTATTAACTTTTCAGGACTTGTTGTCCAAATTGGAAAGTCCTTCAACAACATATATCAGTTTTTAAAAACCACATTAGAACTGGCTCTCTCTTCAGTTGTCAAATCTTGGCTCCTGAGAACCTTGGGTCAGAAGAATTTTTCAGTCCTTGGATATCATTCTTAGAGGAATTGTGTTTGGGTAACCCAGGTGCTCGTGTTCTCTCAACGGTTTAGATTGCTTTCCAGAACCGCTTCCATCCCAAATGATTGACATCAGGGTGAGACAACCAACACTCACAGTGAGATTGGTGACAGCAGCTTGATGACTCAAACGCAGTGTACCCGCTGATGAGGATGCCATCCCCCGTTTGTTCCCCCAGTGACTATATAAATAGTGGTAGCTGAGGGTAACACTAGGCCATTTGGTCACACTCTCAGTTTTCCCAGAGGATGACCAGAGGCAGAACAGTTAAAATGGTGACCAGCTTGAACAATTTGTGCGCAAACAAAACCAATTAGAACATCAAAATATCTTTCACTCCGTTAAGCTGCACATGTGAGAGAAACTTAACTTGAATCATTCTGGTAATTTATTTTTTGTGAGAGTTTTGTCCTCAATGGTACTCCCAAACGAAAGTTTTTGATACTTTAGGGACTCAACAGAAAGAGCTTGTAACAACATCGGTGAGAAGTGTTGCATTCTGGTAAGAGCTTGTTAGGCAGAAACAAACCTTAAGCTCAGCCGATCCTAAGCAGCTGACCAGCATATGATCATGTGTCTAGAGACTTTTCAACAAGGTGTCCTAAACCACAAAAGAGGAATCTTGTAACCGTAACCAGTCTAATGATTTCTTTATTTTGCATTCATTTTCTTCATAAATACTTGGCTCTGATGATGGGTTATCAGAACACTAATCTCCTTTTTGTTTGGTGTCCTCCAAATCATGCGCTGCACTTTATTCAAAGAAACTCTTTAAATTGTTGTTATGCCTCACATTATTCTTGTACAAAGGGTCCTGGAAAATACCTCGGCCTGATTGCTGTCTGAAAGTAGGAAGAGCGTTAAGAACTCCCACCTTCACCCTGCCATATCCACACCCTAAATTCTCACTCTAAGTTTTGCTGGTGTGCTTTCACAGAAGCCTTGGCCTTAGTCATGAAGGCCAATCACACCCTCTTGGTACCTCTCTGCCTCCCTGAATGATCCACTGTATTTGCTGACATAAAGTGTAACTGACCATTGGGGAAAACAACATTTCTATTCCCTTTACTTAGGAGATGACATCACTGGCTTCATGACTCTGTTTTAACTTTGGAATATTTTGATAATTTAGTTGTGATCAAGCATTCCTACTCAGGAAACTTCCAGGCTTTTTTTCTTCTACCTAATGTCAGGGAGAGATTGAACCCTTCTGTGTCTCACACTTAAGACCAAGAAGGTCACAGATTAGTAAAACTCCACCAATGTTTGTGGTGTTCATCAATTTAAGAATCCTTCACTTTCATCCTGTTCCTAATACTTTCCTTTTTATGATTACCTATCTGATGAAATAAATGAATCTGGAGAAAACAAAAAACCTAATCAGGATTAAGTGGGTGGAGATTCAGGAATCTAATCAGATATCATTTTCTGACTGGAAGACACTAGTTGAAAAGAGGTGGCGTATTAGGAAGACAGACAAGTGCATCTGAGGAGCTGCTGGGGAGAACAGAAGTCTGGAGTCACTGTCTGGTTCCTGTGAGGTGTGAGCCCGCTGTCAACCACGTCAGATCTGGTAAGTCCTGCTCTTCCATGAAGATTCACCATTATGATCAGTCATCAGTCAGACTTGTCCAAATTGAAAAACCAGCAATTTCTTTTTCCTGTCTTTTTCTATGAAGAGATATAAGCCTTTGATTTTGCCTATAAGTGCAGTGTTGACATCCTCTTAGACATTTCAGTTTGAGCTTGGTTTGCATCACTTTAAAATTGCTCCACCGGTTAGATTTTTAAAGAAAAATTAAAAATCAATTATCGAAATTTTACTTCTTGACTGTTAAGCATATATTTTGTGTGCCCTTAAAATATGGTTTCTCAACTTTGGGGTTTTAGCATGGAAGCTTTCATTTTAATGAAAAGCTTAAAAATGTTCTATAAAATCTTTTTAGGAGTTGAGTCTTTGTTCTAAATATGGGTTGTATTCCTTCCTCTAACCACATTTCTAAGCGGTCACTTCTAAAAGTGTGAGGCATGGGCCTTGGGATCCACATCTGAGAGTTAGTGTTTCCCATCTCTAACTTCTCCGTGCTCAGAAATACTGCAACGTGACTTTTACATGTCCTCAATTAGTTTTTGAAAATGCAAAGAAACGAAAGCCCATCCTAGAGATGTCCCCTTCATTAATCCCAGCAAGGTTAAGAAATGAGCATGTGAGTTGTGTTGTGCCACATGACACACCCACATGCATGTCCTAGGGGTTTGAGTGATAACCCGTAATATCCCCCAAATAGGGTAAGAGGAATAGAGTGGAGGCTCCTCGAATCCACTCCTCAGTTTGAATAGGATCCAGCAGAGCACTGAACGGAAGCTAATGGGCTAGTGGCCACCTTGTCCTCCTAAGCACTTGTGGAAAGATTTTCCTGGAGGCAGCATGGGCAGTAGCTTTGTGACCACTGAGTGCACAGTGGATTTGGAATAAGCTGAAAACTGTTCCACTTTTGCCAGAGCAGTGACACTGGACCTGAGAAGAGAAGACGTGCTCAGCCATGGCCAGAGCATGATGTCTTTTCTTGGAATGAATCCCCTGATTTTCATTCATTGCAGAATCATGATGAGCCTCCAGACCCCTCCCAGGCTCCTGGAACTGGCAGGGCAGAGCCTGCTGGGGAAGGAGGCCATGGCCATCTCTGCTCTGGAGGAGCTGCCCATGGAGCTCTTCCCATCCCTGTTCATGGAGGCCTTCACCAGGAGATGTAGTGAGACACTGAAGGCGATGGTGCAGGCCTGGCCCTTCCCCCACCTTCCTCTGGGCTCCCTGATGAAGACGCCTCAACTGGAGATTTTAAAAGCGGTTTTGGATGGACTTGATGGACTGCTTTCCCAGAACGTTCGCCCCAGGTGAGGTGACCCAGGTGTAAGGGAGGGTCCGGGAGTTCTGGGAAGGGGCAGCTGGGTCAGGTAGAGTGGGGGTCCTAGGATAGACCAGAGGCTTCTGATGGTGCCAGTGAGGAAGTCCAGAGAGGTCTTGACCTGCTGAGCCTCTTCTTGGAAAGAGTTACCTGACGGTAGGACTGCTTACCATGCAGGGACCACTGGGGGAACTGGAACTTCAATCCTCCCACTGGAACTGAAAGGTACTGGAAGTGGAGACCAGGCTGGATCAAAAACGAAAGGGCATGAAGAAAAGTCAGGGAGAGGGAGAGGACGCGGGGATGGAAACAGTCGAGGTCCACAGTGTGGAGTATAAGCTTAGGTCAGTGGTGAGTTTCTGGACCAATGCTAAGAATTTCCTCTTTTTTTTGACTCTGAGGAGGAAGTGGAAACTGCAAGTGCTGGATTTACGGAATGTTGACCAGAACTTCTGGAGTGTGTGGTCTGGAGCCACTGTGTGCTCCTCAGAGGCCTTGAGTAGGAGGAAAACAGTGGAGGACTGTCCACGGAGAGGACGGCGGCAGCCATTGAAAGTGTTCATAGACCTTCATTTAAAGGAAAGAACCTTGGATGAATTCCTTATCTTCCTCTTTCTGTGGGCCAAGCAGAGAAAAGGTTTACCACACATATGCTGCAAGAACCTAAAGATCTTAGCAATGTCCATCAAAAACATCAAAAAGGCCCTAAAACTGGTTGATCTGGGCTGTATCCAGGAGGTGGAAGTGAATTACACCTGGACATTGTCCACCCTGGCACAGTTTGGGCCTTACTTGGGCCAAATGCGTAATCTCCACAAATTTGTCCTCTCCAACATCTATGTTTCTCCCTACATTTGCCCAGAGAAGAAGGAGGAGTTTGTTGCCCAGTTCACCTCTCAGTTCCTCAAGCTGGATCACCTCCAGAAGCTCTACATGGACTCTGTCCCCTTTCTTGAAGGCCACCTGGATCAGCTGCTCAGGTGAGGCAAGATGGGGAGCTGTCTCTGCAGACCAGAGCAAAGCCTTCCTTTGTAACTGTAAACACTGAAGGACGTCTGCTGTGTGCCAGGCAGGGGTGATGTCACAGTGGAGAAGATTCTAGAATGTCAACATACTGTGATGGTCACTCTCTACCCTGATGTGGGAACTACTTAACCACCAATATAGGCTGAGGTATAAAATAGGGTGGATTGTTAGAGAGTGACACAATGCTAGGAAGCTATCTATTGGGATGCTCAAGTCTGGTGGGTGCATTTGTGAATTCTTACTATGACTAAGTTGGAAAGCATATCTAGTCTGCATCTGCAAATTTCAAAATATAAACTCTGTCCTCACAAGCTTAGTGAGCATGAAGGAACTTGACTCTAATCTTGTCAGTCAAAGATTGTTTTGAGCCTCAGGTAAGGTAATTAACATGGGAAATGAATGATTCTGGAATAGAGGGTGATGGAGTAGACGTGAAGAATAGTAGAAGTGATGGATGGTTTGCTGATGGTTCAGGTATGTCAGTGAGCCCTGCAGGCTGGCAACCCGAGCTGATGTTGCTGGATCCTGCCTGGGTCTGTCCTATATACATGTCTCCACTAGGCTCCTATGGCAGTGGTCGGTGGTATTTATTTATTTTGTCAGAGTTTCACTCTGTCATCCAGGTGAAGTGCAGTGTCCTACTCACAGACACCGCAGCCTTGACCCGCTGGGCTCAGGCAATCCTTCTGCCTCAGCCTTCCAAGAAGCTGGAACCAGAGGTGGATGGCACCATACCTGGCTGATTTTTTCTTAATTATAGAGATGAGATCCTACCAACTTGCCCAAGCTGCTCTCCAACCACCGGACTCAGGCAATCCTCTGGCCTCCACCCTCCAAAATGCTGTGGTTATAGGCATGAGCCACCACATCTAGCAATTGGTAGTATTTACAGATGGAGAAAGGGAGGTTTAGAGCTTCTGTGGACTTGACCCACTCAGTGAGTGAAGGTGAAAGACTCAGTTTCCTTTTTGTTGTTGTTGGAGTCTCACTCTATTGCCCAGGCTGGAGTGCAGTGGCATGCTCACGACCACAGAGCCTCGATCCGCTGGACTCAGATGATCCTTCCCACCTCAGCCTTCCAAGTAGCGACAGACACATGCCACCACACCCGCCCAATTTTTTGATTTATTGTAGAGACAAGGTCTCGCCAAATTTTCCAGGCTGGTCTCGAACCCACGAGCTCAGGCAATCCTCCCGCTTGGCCTGTCCTATATACATGTATCCACTAGGCTCCTATGGCACTGGTTGGTGGTATTTGTGTGCTGGGATTATAGGCCTGAGCCACCATGCCCGGTTGACTCGGCCGCCTACGAGGCTGAGTTGAGTAACCAGCCCCATTTCCCCTAGCATCCTGGGTGTTGGCCATCCAATAGTCAGAACAGCCTTGAGCTTGGGGAAAACTGTCATCTTCCACTTGAGGTCATTCTCTTCCACTCCTCATGACGATTCCCAGGACTGACTGCTTGTGTCTCCTCAGGTGCCTGAAGAACCCCTTGGAGACCCTGGCAATAACTAACTGCCTGCTGTCCGAATCAGACCTGAGGCATCTGTCCCAGTGCCCGAGCATCAGTCAGCTGAAGGCCCTGGACCTCAGTGGCGTCAGACTGACCCACTTCAGTCCCGAGTTTTTCCACGTTCTGATAGAGAAGACAGCTGCCACCATCCAGACCCTGGACTTAGACGGGTGTGAGATCATGGACTCCCAGCTCAACACCATCCTGCCAGCCCTGAGCCGTTGCTCGCAGCTCACCACCTTCAGCTTTCGTGGAAATCCCATCTCCATGGCCGCCCTAGAGAGCCTGCTGCACCACACCGTCAGGATGAGCACGTTAAGCCTGGAGCTGTACAATGTCCCTCTGGAGACCTGTGGTGGCCTGGGTGTGCTCCACCAAAGGAGATTTTCCCAACTTCGAGATGAGCTGATGGAGACACTGAGGGACTTAAGAATTCCCAAAAGGGTTTTGTTCTGTACCGTCCCCTCCCCTTGCTGTGGCAACAGTGCATTCTATGGTCTGGAACCCTGTCAGTGCTGCTGTTGGATGCCTGCCTAGTTGGGTGCATATCTCAAAAGCGTTCTACAGGGCACTTGGAAACTGTCTAAGACATAGGTATCATGAGCATAAGACCCATTCTTTCAGATGCTTGCTCAGTGTGATTGGGAAACAGAAAGGTCATGCAGCTGTGGGCAAGCCCAGAAGGGAAATGTTGACCTAGGGAGTAAATGGGACCGTTGGAGACATGTGTCCGTGTAGAGTCAGAAACAGGAATCTGAATTTCTCAAGTAAGATTTGTACTTGAGAAGCACATGAGGAGTTACCCCTGCATGGATCACTATAAGGAAATGGTCATTAATAAAAAGAACCTCGGTGTAAATTCTCTGGTGTCCTCCATGATCCTTTAACCTGTTTGAACAACTTACCCCTTGGGGATTGCCAGTCACTGATAAGGAGAAAAGAAGCACTGAGCTGTTTGAGGGATGAAGTTTGTCTCTAGGAAGTCAAGGTGTCAATTCCCTTCCATCCCTTTCTTCCATCTGGACATTTATCTTGCGATTTTCTGCAGCTGCTCGGTGTGTTAATACATACCAGGTGGGCACACAGGGCCTGGAACATTCTTAGTGAGCAAGTGTGAGTCACTGGAGTAAAGCCCTTTCAAGGGCTCTTGGTGATAACCGGATGCTGAGACCCATTTCTTTCCTATTCAGTGGATCCAGAGAATCAGTTCCTGGCTACTGTCTGTGTTGGGAAAGGGCTTCACTGCACAGGGTGTGGACCCGAGCGCTGGGAGGGGACACACCGTAAGGGGGGCATCCCCAAATCCCGGAATTTATTTATGAAAAGTTGTGTATTTATTCTTAAACGTTTAAGCATTGGACACCTTCGAGGTACTTCCTGCTTGATGCAACACACCTATCATTTCTTCTACCGCATACAAGGATTTTTTAGTGCTCCTGACATTTTTTTCCTTCATCTCTTCCATGCCAGCAAAATATTTCCCTTTGAGGACTTTGTTCATCGAAGGAAACAAACAAACAAAAAGGTTGCTGGGAGTGAGATCAGGGGAATAGAAAGTGTGGGGCAGGGGGGTCATTCTGGGTTTTGACCAAAAACTGCTGAACACTCAGCCTGATGTGGTAGGTGTGTAATGATGGAAGAACCAGTCACCTGTTTGCCACAGCTCGGGATGTTTCTTCTGTAAACTGTGACACAACCTTCTCAGAATTTCCACATAAAAACTTTGGTTGACCGTTTGATTCAGAGGAACAAATTCTGAGTGTACGGCAAAGAGCCAACCTCCAATAGAAGAGAATTCCAGGTTTTTTGGGTCCCCCTTGTTTACTCTCTGCAGTCGCAGGGCATCATCCTCCCATGCCTGTCAACTTGGTGAGTCGCTGTCCTTTCTGAATGAAATGAGTTGTGGCTACTAAAATATCCAAATCCCCTTGTAGCAAATACTAAGACGATAAGGAACGCAACACCTTTTAAATGTTTTTATATGACAGTCACAAACTTATCTTCAGGGAGGAGCTAGCTCAAGGCGATGAGGCATCTCAACATCTCTCTTCTTCAGTCAAGGAGGTTAGCGTGGCATGTTTTGCCATCGCATATCAGCCGGGTGTGGTGGCTCACATCTGTAATCCCAGCACTTTGGGAGGCAGAGGTGAGAGGATTGCCGGAGCTCAGGGGCTTGAGACCAGGCTGGGTAACTTGGCAAGACCTCATCTCTACAATAAATCAAAAAATCAGCTGGGCATGAAAGTGCGTGCCTGGAGTTCCGGCTACTTGGAAGGCTGTGTGGAAGGATCACCTGAGCCAAGCAGGCCAAGGCTGCAGTGGCTGTGAGCATGCACTGCCTTCCAGCCTGGGGACAGAATGAGACTCCTACTCCAGAGAAAACAAAAAGAAAGAAAGAAATCACGTACCATGAGAAAATGAAGAGCAATGACATGCCTGTGGGCAGTGAGTGGCTTTCCCTGTGAAGAGTGATCCTAAACAAAGGACACCCAGCGAGCAACCCTGCTGGGGGTTCAGGGGCTGGTGTTGGGCAAGAACCTGTGACACGAGCCTTAGTTTCCCTGTAAAATGAGGATGAAGTTACCCGCCAGCTCCTGGGACCTTTGTAAGATCTCAAAAGAAGATGCACTTGCAGGATTTGGCATGGGGCATGGCATACAAGAAGAGCTCAATAAGTGCATCTTTTCCTCCTATTTCCTTTTAGCAGAAGCCCCCAGCATTTTCATCCTTCAACCTGAGAACTAAAAATAAAATTCTCCAACCAACTTAACACACCCCCTCTTGGCCAAGGACATCCCAGAGAAACTTTACAAACCAAGACACCAGCATGGCAAGATGAGAGGCTGGACAAGGCTTCGTTTTACCCTCTCCCTTTTGTGGCTTAGACACGATCACTTACCAGCATTAATGTTAACACAGAGATCATAAGACACAGAATGGCCTATTTCCGTTAATGAGGTACCAAAATATAATAAAGAGGATCTAAGGACATGCCAGGTCAGGGTTAAGTCCTGCACGCTTATACTTAAAGGATGAACTGCTTTCCTTGTGAAATGCCACAAAGATTTTCCTTTGCTCTAGTTGCTAAACGAGAAAGAAGCACTGACCTCAGGATAAGCGATATTCAAACAATTGCAGCTCATCCACCCCAAGACACTAACTGACCCCCTAGTTCCGACAGCCGTAACTACAGCTTTGATTGGACAACACGTTGATTTCAGTAACTTTCTCTTTATAAGAAACCCCCGACAATGGTCTGGTTCTGGTTGGTGTACGAAGACTAGCACTTGCCTGCTTTCGTGTCCCTGCTTCACCTTTTGAAATACAGGGACTAGCTGAAGTGCATTTAAATGGGAAGTCTTCAGCCCTGAGTGAACACGGGACATATGTCGCCTGCATGTTTATTCAGGATGCATGAGT